GACATATTACACCATGTCATCATTTATTTTACAAAAAGAAAGCCAAAATGGAGAAGCCGTGAAAAACTACTAAGTACACCCTTACTGCTTCCATAGGTAATGAAGAGGCTAAGTAGCAGAAAGAACTCAAAGAGGGTGCGCTTTCTTTTTCATACGACTGTGAAATAGCAGATTAAAACAATTTTATAAGCAGCAAGAAGCATCAGCAGTGATAATATCCAAAAAAACATGGCAGGAGAAATTCTACAAAAAACATAAACTAATGAATCTGCATCTGACTCAGAAAACTCGCAACACTTTGCACCAGCCCTTATTGAACAGAGAAGCAATTCTGTAACTGGATAATCTGCATCATGAATACAGTGTCTCAGGCTACTGGACAGAAAATTCCTGACAAATGTGGAACCAGAAAAATGGCATCCCCAGTAATCTTAAGTACTAGAAAATAAGAGACAAAGCAATTCATCAGGTACTCAGCTTTTAAACCATGTAGGTTGAGTACCTTTAACTTCACTAATAGATGCTCTCAGTCAGTGCAGCTTCTTCTGAATGAATATAATAGGCACTTTCCCTAGTCTCAGAATTCTGCATTCCTGAATCTTCCAGACCAGCCTTTAAAGACAGTCTACGCAAAGCACAGTACACGAACCCAACCATGAAGTTACTATACCTTTGCATGGATTACTAAGTATTTGCCACGTCAGCTGAAGCTGGGAAAAAGTATTTTTGCCTTTCCCTGCTTTTCTGTCTACAAGGTCACATTTGATGTTTGCTGGTGGGTTGTAGGCTCTACTTGCAAATTACCCAGAAATCCCTTTTACAGATACATTACCTACCCAGCCACCATTAATGTATACATTAATAAATGTTCCTCATTCACATAGTACATATCTCATTCACTTACCCCGAATGTCATTCATACTCACACACTCATTCACACATTCCACACCAGTCACATGTACCACTCATGCCATTCAGACACTCTAGTTCATTCATTCCCCATCTCATCTCCACCATCCAGCCTCTATTCACATACAAACAGACCACACACATGTACCATCTGCCTATACGCAGGGACAACCACAAGTCATCTTAAGAAACAGATGGCAAAAACTGGCTGAATTGGATTGAACTGAACCCTTCAAGAGACCTCAGGGGTTATTCAAAAAGTATGTCAGATGTTAAATTAAAAAAAAAAAAGAGTCTTCTCCATGTCTAATTCTATGTGTTACATGTTTTCTCTCTGGTGTAGCACATTCAGTTATTCCAATATCTATGGGTAGCTTTCTGCATATTTCCTCTTAAAAAACACACTTCAATGGCTCTAAAAAATCATGTGTGAGCCATAAGAAGCAAATTTTGGAGGGCTCATCTTATTTGGCTACTTTAGCAATCAAACAGGATTTGTTTCTGCCTCAGGTATCAACAAGGCAGATCTGGCTGCATTCCTAAAACAGAATGCCCTGGGGAATTACTGTATGCTACATCATTATTTTGGTGGGGTGAAAGAACCAACAGTGAAGTGTTTGGAGTTGTTTAGAAAGTGTCTCTGTGTGGAGGATGCAGGAAGGGTACTGGAAATCAAGGGCTAGTTGAACCAGAGAAAATCCACATTTGAATGGAATGTGCATTGCACATTCTTTGCAGGCTTGCCCAGAAGAATGATCTTTTCTAGTGGTCATGATGGATAAGCTTAGTGAATTGTATGATGAATACTCAGTCTAATGAAGTACATACGTACAGTCCTTCTGAATGCATAGGTGGATGGAAATGCAACAGAATACTAGGGTGGACTATAACAATGATGTATCAAAGATTAGAAGATAAAATATATGACCGATGAATAAAATTATCAAGAATCATGCAGACTGACATGATTGCAGACTATGAACAAGAACTACCCCCAAACAGCTAGACCCCTTCCCAAATTGTATTGTAAAATTGTAACAGTAGTCCATTGATTGATAAGTCCAACATTTTATGTTATAAAATAGGAGACAAAGAGGAGCACTGTGTATAAGCTGGGAGAAATATTTGAAGTGTGTAAGAGCTTCTCCTTTCTATAGATTGCTAATTTGTTTGCTGCTTTTTTTCTGTTACTTCTCTCTCTTTTCCATGCTGGGAAATCTTTCTGAAATCAAGGATATACAAGACAAAATTGGTAACTATCTGATTGCTAATTTAAATACCTTCTCTGCTTACCTTAGTTAGAAAAATTGTATTGATCAGCAGTATGTACCTCTAATTAGTTGTGCTGGAACTGACAAATGTATTAAAGGTACATGTTTATCCAAGCTTTGATTCAAAGCCAATGTAATGGTTGCACTATGTACTGTTGTTTTCTGTGGTGATTGTGCTCACTGGTGGCAAAGATCCTGAGAGAGGAGGAAGTAAGTTCTCTAGATTTTCCCCTTCCCACAAGGAGGAACCCAGAGGTACTAGAGTTAAGAAAAAAGTTGTTACTGCAGTTTTGGTTCAACATTCCCATGAGCTCATCTGTGCACCCATGACTGTTGAATCTGAATATACAGGAATCTTTCTTAGAGGTAGGGCATGCCCACAAGGTTATGTATTGTATTCCAATAAAGCAGAAGAAAAAAGATTTTTCAAATTGGGAAATTTCACTTGAGAATAAAATATGGATTTATTGTGCATTGGATATGGTTAAGTACTGAAGTTAATATCAGTTTGGGCTAATTTCAGAAACATCTGAAAGATTTCAAAATGAAATAGTGTTCCCCCAAAGCAGACTAAATCAGAACCATCTGGAACATTCATGAATGACTTGGAGGTACAGAAATATTGTCAAAAATAATAATTTCCAATAGGGGTGAATATGTGTAGTTCAGAGTTGAACTGTGGAGTCCTGGGGGTTCTCTGAGCTTGATTCTTTTCTTGCAAACATTTCATTACCCGGCTAGGTAACATCTTCAGTGCTAAAATGGGATGGGGTTTGCTCTCTCTTTATGTGCTGTGACCCACGTAGCCAGGTTATGAAACGTTTGCAAGAAAAGAACCAAGCTCAGAGAACCCAAGGACTCCACAATGATAATTTCCCCACAAATTCTCTATATGAAAAAAAATGCCAAGGTAGAGATAGGGGAGCAGGAATTTTGTGACTATGTTTGCAACAAACAGCAAACTGCTTTTAACCATGACTCTCCAGCACAGTGCACTGTGGGTGAGACATCAAATTAGTAATGTTGTATTCTAATTTCTGCATCTGTGCTGAGATTTTTTCAGGTCTCATCCATAAGGATATGTGTTCTGATGTTTTCATATATCAAAAGTGAATGGAATAAGATTCCTTGCTTTGCCAATATGAATACTCCCCTTACTCAAAGGCAATTAACTGAGTTTTATAAAAATCCTGAGGTATCTTAGCTGAACTCTCTTGTATACTGTACTCTATTTTCATAAAATTGCTTACAAAAACAGAGACGTAATTGCATACTTTTTTAAGAAGCCACCAATCTATAAAGTTTATTTTTGGAAAATGCCTCCT